GAACCTTATTCAGAGTCCGTCGGCATTCTTAGCAATTCTGAGCCACACGCGTACGCTTTTGTCACCTCTGACAAGCCTCCGACAGGTGACGATCGAGTTACATCAACTGTTATAAGATATGGGTTGAAGTTGGAGGAAAGAAAATCCAATCCACATTGAAGTCCTAAAGACAAGAACTTTTTATTTATGGGCATGTCGAGCCCCTGGGTCTTTGTAGCTCTGTCTCTTATCTCTTTTCGGTCATGGGAAACCCGTAAATCCTCCGTGATTCAAGCCTCTAGGCGATGAACTGATCGCATTACATAGTTGCACAAGGTGTGAATTTAGAATAACGTAAGAAACGTCCCGTGGCGAAAGGCCGCTGTCGGCACTGCAGGCTTCGTGGGGTGGGTGGAAAGAGCGCTTGTCCTGGGAAATAATTGAAACATATAAAAGAATTACATCCGGAAGAAACGAAAAGAAGAGGAGATTTTGGAAAATCCCTCAAATTGCTTGAGATTCTTCAGAATTAATCCCTGTTCAGCGTTAACGGTTCTTCAATTTGCTTCAGATTTGTTTTACCCCCCTCAAAAAAAAAGAAAAAAAAGAGAGAGACTAGTAACGCCCAAGGTTGGTACTCCAAGACGCTGACTAACCTGCACTTCCAGCGGCATTGACACTGTAATAATAGGGCTTGGAAGTAAAAGGTCACGCAGCAAGCTTCTGAAACCCTTGTGCGATTCGCCTAATAGCATGAGAATTTTACATATGGCCGTCGTATCACGTTCGATAATTTGGGAAGTATGATTTCTAAATAAGACTAACCTGAGAAAGTCTCATATTGGAATGTTTCACCTTTGTCCCCCTCATATAAAAATTCGGAAACGTCATCTGGAGACTGGTAAAAAAAAATATTCCATTAAAGACCTTTCACTTCTGGCAATATTGTTCCCAGGACTTCCTGTTCGTGCACATTCGTTTTCATCCCTCGAGCTTACGTGAAAACGAGATTTTACAACGTTGCTAAGATTTACCTTCCCACAGTGGATGGGTTCTAAATTCGGTCGAGTCGACCGGACACAGCTCTTGTCACCAAAGGTTAGCTTAAACATTAAAATCTTTCGTACAAGAAGAATATTCTTTTAGGTTTATTTCCTTATAAACTACAGATTCCTAAAATATTTTTGTCTCTTTTTATTATGGCTATATTACCAAAAGACCATCATTAAGTATAATTCTGCAACTGTTCATTTGTGTACGAGACCACTGCCCTTTTACAAGTTGAGATTTTAAGAAGGAATTGAACGAAAAGTTATTACTAATTCTAAAATTTTTACACGTTTTTCCTATCCATCAGGCGCCAACTTTCCGGCTCTATTAACAAGGTACTGCTGGCGCAACCTGACAAAATAAAAGAAAAAAATGTAAAGCTGTCCGTTTTTACTCATATCATTCTTTTAATGATTAGTATTGAAGGAGAAAAGATTGATAAAAGCAGTATTTTGTGTAACAAAATGACATGTTGAACGCAGATTGAATTCAGTGGTGTAAACTTTTCAGTGTGATTTCTTTGTTTTAAGTGAACTTTCATTTCCATAATTTTAAGTAAAACAAAATAAATAAATAAATAAACCATCTCCATCCCCCATTGGATTACGTGACACGACATGATACAAATGGACCCCGCAGAGCCATCACCTAGATCGTGCCGTACACAAAAAGCTAACTTTAAAGAAGTAATGTCATGGCCGTTTGCTCAGCACGTACCTAACCTGTAGGCGGTAAATTCGTGCTAGGATTTTGTATCTCACAAGGTTGCGAGACAAAATTTAAAATCTGGATGAGGAGTTTTTTGCCCACTTAAACCTTGGACCGAGCCCCCTATTAACAAGCCAATGAAAGCACATCAAATCAAACATGTGGTACCAGCGACGTTGGTCACTATGTTTTACAGGAAATGCCGGCTAATTTTGCGCCGGGTCATTCTTGTTTCATCTTCGCCTCACACCTGCATTTAGTTTATTGCAAAAGAAAAACGGTACACGAACGACAGTAGCCAATGGTATCGTTCCTAGTTCCTTGTTCGTGCACGTTTGTTTTCGTTCCCCGTGCTTACGTGGAAACGAGATTGTACAACGTTGCTAAGATTTACGTACCGGCTGTCGATGGGTTCCAGATTCCGTTGAGTTGACGTGACACAGTTCTTCTCAGCAAAGGTTAGCTTATACATCAGAATCTTTCGTAAAAGCATGTTATTGATTTAAGTTTATTTCCTCATAAATTTAAAAATCCTTACGATATTTTTTCTATGTTTTTGTTGTTGCTTTTACCGAAAGACTACCATAAAGCCTAATTCCGTAATTGTTCATCTGCGTACAACACCACCGAATTGCTCTGTTCTTCATGTATTTTGGATTTTAGGAAGAGATAGGTCACTTTTTTGCCGGATATTACTCTTTCAGGTCAGGTTATTCTGAAGTTTCCAATATTGATATGCTAGCAAATATTTTACAATAGGCCTTTTTACCAGTAGAGATTTAAATGCAGCGTATAAAATCTGCAGGTATTGCAAATTGTCAAAATTTGCCAATTTTGTGGTTTGTGATTTAGTTTCTGTATCACTTCAAGGACCCGCGTCACTTTAAGAGTTCACTGCTCTGAGAAAAATTGAGAAAAACGCTGTTCGTTTATAACACTCGAAGCCCAGGTCGTATAATTTGTCTCGCAAAACTCCATGGGCCATAGGACGTTCCTGAGTATCACGATAGAGCACAGAAGAAATTGATATGGAGACCAATTGCAGACCCCAAAATGTATTTTTTCCATCGCATTGAGTGGTGATAGTGGTTTACAAATTTACCTTCAAGTTTGTGTTTCCTCTTCGGCAACGCTGAAAGTTTTGGCGCATAAACTCCATGTCATCGTACGGGGAGTTGACTGCAGTCACCGCAGTCACTGCACGACCAAAGGGTTTATTCTACCAAATCTTTGTGTTCCTGCGCGCAAATGCATTAATATTTTGTGATCCCACGGTTTTTTTTTTACAAGACAGGCCATAATCCTAGAAATATTTCTATAAATCCCGAAGTTGGGACTGATAGTCTCCAGTTCGGGGTATTTCTTTCACAAAAGCCCCATTGCGGGCCTGTTTTGGATAGAGGCGGGCAGCTACATTCAGAAATGAGCGCTTAGTTTTACTGCTATTTTTAAGATCGTCCGGAGGGATGTTCTTTGGAAAAAAAATGAAATTTCTCTTTTTTCGAAACTGACAGCATTCCTGGCGGTACGATTTCACACATTGTCTGAAAATATTATATACTTTACACGGACAAATTTTTAGATAATTCGACAGTCCCGCTTTTTAGATCTTGCAAATCCTATAAACAGCAACTGAACAGAAAAATATTAATATTCTAAAATTTCTGCACTTAATTTTTCATATCCAAGGGTTCCGGAAGCGCGCCATCAGGGGTCAACTTTCAGGCTCTATTAGAAAAGAACTATCTGCTTCTCAAAACGACTCACAAAAGTACCAGACTGATCTGACGAGTACCACTGCCTAAAAACAAAATTTTAGAATTGTATAATTCAATTTTGCTGGAGAAGAGAAAAAAGTGATTTTCGTCCCCACCTTGTGAACTACTCCATATGGTGACTTGTGCTTATTTTGTTACGGGTCATGGCGATGTTTGCCCTATAGGTCCATCAGTGAATACATCCAGCGCTGTCGAAAACTGTTTTATCTAACTAATCTGCTTCTACCTGAGTTACATAAACGTGTGCGTTTGTGTAGCGTGGGCCTCATCGTGTTAGCGTCGTTTTTTTCCCCTGACGTTCACCTTTTTGTCAGATAATGTTTTTATTGAACTTTATATGAACTTTCGCTCGAGATGAATGGGACAAAAAGTAAACATTGGAGCAGTCTTTGTTTATAGAATAGGGGAAAATTACCTCGGTCCACAGGATTTGTAAACGGGCTAACAGATTTCAACCGTTTTTTTTTTAATTGAGCAAGCATTTTAATGACATGCATTTGTAAGGGTGTATCAGAGAAACTGATCAATATATGAGGTTTTGCAGAATGAAGATTGATAAAGAGGGATTTTAGGAATTGACACTATTGATACTGATGTGTTCAATGGAAAGAATATTTCACTTGGTGGTAGATGGAATCCACCCAGTAAAACATTTCATCCCTTACCAAGGGTATTTTTCTCATACTTCAAATATATATATATAATATTATTTAATATTATATAATATTATATTATTTTTTTCATGCTTGTTAAAAAAAATCTTAGTTTGTTTCAGTTGCAGATTCAAATGTGTGCTGCCTTTTAAGAAGGTAACAGCCGATTCGCCAACACCAATGATAAAACCTAGACAACTGCCTAATAACCAGAAAATAAAATGGTCATGTCGATAGGCTACATTTTTAAGACGCGTTTTGTGCTCAACATAATACCCTTCTTTGATGTACAAAACCTGTTTGAAGTCCTTTTGGCGTTAGGTGTAACGAACAATCCACTTATAGTCGAAAATCATTGTCCCTGGCCTGCTTTCCAAGACAAAGGAGGGCGCAGTTGCACTGATTTCATCTAGGGTCAAAACAGTTTTGAAAGCAGATTACTTTTTGGCTTCTTTCTGGTCACTTACACATCAATGAATCATCGAAGAAAACCAAATTTACAAGATCAAAGTTTACAAAATTCCAGCAAGTCTGGTCGTGAAAAGACATTAGGGATAAATTTGCATTTAATAGAAATTCGAATAAGAGTACAAACCCGAAAATCACCCAAATGCGTTTTTCACTATAGCAAGTAAAAAATGCAAAATAAATTCAATTGAAAAAGAAGGGTGCATTTTAGAGGATTTGGGTAGAAACAGGATGTGTGCCATTGATCCTTTAAATGAACGGTCTACACAGCGAGGCAATAAAGAAATGCGTTATCGGTAATAAATTAGTCCCAAAAGGAGTGTTTTTACCTTTTCTTTTTTTTTTCGCTTTACTTTTCACTCAGGATTTCTAGACTGCTTCCATCCTGAAACCCTAGAGTACCATGGCACTCACTCCGAGGCTTGTCCCAGGATTGGAAGCTGTGGGACGTGCATACCCTGGGCTAATGTCACCGTGCCAGGCTTCGACCCAGCTTACTACCCTCAGGCAGGTAGGGGCATGACTTTCTAGAAAAAAGGTTTAGAAATTTCTTTTAGATTTCATTTCCCAAGACATTTCAAACTACACAGCCTACACGCGTGGTCTTGCATTCTCAACTCCGTTCAATATTGTAATTGTACAGGAATTATAAGGCGCATAGTATCTGATAATATTCTTAATTGGGAGGCTCTTAATTCTAGACAAGAGTGAAATATGGCTCCGGAGGCCTGTCGCCTGTCGTAAAATACTGAATTTAGGACCACACTAATACATGACGTGACTGCGATTGCACAGAAAAGCTCTTAGGTCGGTCCTAAAAGGCGTACCTAACGACATGTCTAAGGATATGTACTAGTGTGTGACTGTATGGGAACAAACACTAGTCACATTTCACAGTCAGATAGAAACTGATACCCCAGCATGTTTACATTGTTTTGTTTGGGCTAATTACTGATTCTTTACAAATATATGTACTTCACCTCATTGTCATCATCATGATCAACAAAGCTATTGTTACCAACATTCCTCAATTATTTATCCTCATGTTAATGCAGTGCAGCTCTGCCACAGGACTTTTGTCCTGCTTGAGTAAAGCCATGGTGGCGTCATGTTCTTTCTTGAACATTTCCAAATGTGGAGTTGCTTGATGCTGGACCGTTTGTCTTGCTGATGCGGAATATCGATGATGTGCTTTTCCTTAGATTTGTTTTGGTTTTTGTTTGGTTTGGCGGTAATGTGAAGTAGACACACCTTTCACATTAACGTACTGTTTCATATCAATTATGTGATGAACATCTTGCAGCACCCCGTTGACAAGAAACTCTTCCCTAATTTTTGCAAAGCTGTTCATCAAGGACATAGGTCTCAACTTCTAAATAATTGCTGGATGCTGTTTAAGAATAGGTATAACAATTGCCTTTTTCCACTGGGTTGGTACTGCTCCCTCGAGATAAGAACTATTGAGAATATTGGTAAGCGGAATACTCAGTTCATAGGCACATTCTTTGAGAGGCCGAGGTGATATTCATCAAGGCCTGTACACTACTAAGGGTATAATCAAGGGTGAAGTATCGGTGAAGGTAAAAATCGCGCAACTTTGAGATATCCAAAGGTGGTAGACATTGAACAAAAATGCATTGGCAATATCTTCATGTTTGCACATACACCTGGCACTACAATGCCGATCTCAGTTCAATGGTTCCTAGTCATGACCATAATCTGACAATGCCATTTCTCAGGATCATGTTTTGGGAAACAAATGACTCTGTCTGCAAAATAATTAATTTTATTAACCTCTGTTACACACTGCACTCTGTTTTGCAATGCCTTCCATTATTAAAATTACCAGAAACGAATGCAGCCTGACGAACAGAAATCAGCTTTTTAATTTTGGGTGTCATCCATGGTTTATCTGAAGTACATAATTTGTTGGTTACTTAATCACAGTTCAAATCAACCGTAACGTTCAGTAAAAGACGTCAATGTTTCCGTAGACACCTATGGATTTGTACACAATACTCCAATCCTGCTGATGGATCCACGTGCCAAAACTTCTAACGCCACAATCTTTCAAGGGCCTGGGGTACGTAACCTGATTTTGCTAGACAACCTTGTCAGTGGAATTAAGAACAATACAGTTATGGTCACGTTTTCTGATAGGTGGTAAACATATTTGATCAGCATAACATGTATTCATGTTCGTGATAATCAAATCCAAAGAGGCTTGAGATCTAGTTTGACATTTTATGACCTGCTTGAAACCATTACCCTTTACTAGCATATCAATTTGAGTACTGTTAAAGTCACCTTCTTTAATAAATTGAGTATCCGTGTAAGATGTGCGCAACAGGTATATAGACTCATCTAATATTCGACTAACGATCTGGTAGTATGGAAATAACTAATATACCGTCAAGTCTCTTGGAAGCCAGTCAGGTGGAACCATTACCCACAGATACTCGAGCTAATGGCCATAGCAGTAACGCAGTCTCTGATATGATATGGCAATACCTCCTCCACATTGATGCTGACGGGACTTGAAAACACATTGTAGTCATTAATATTCATTGAATGCCCTGGCAGAGTGGAGCCATGGTTCTGGATGAAAACATTCAAACTTGAACATGGGTTTTACACCAAATGGTATAGACCAACAACGAAGTAAAGGAATGACCCTGACCCTCAGTTAAAGAATTGATACAGCTATTGATCCAACACCCTAACTCGACTCGACTTTTGGGTTCTTTCAGCTTGCTCATTGCTAGACTTTTATTTTTAGAGCAACAAGTGAGGCTAAATAAGTGAATCACAGTCCCCATAACAGTTTGTAGAATCGCTGTCTTGTTTGGTTTGCTTTCCCCTCAGCCACCTATTTTTCTGGTTCTTGACTTGCTAATAGCGTTCAACAGAAATGTCTTGCTTTCGAGGCAAAAACATGACCAATGTTCCATATTCAATCTCAAATGTTCATTTTAAGATCAATAATGCTTCTTCATCCGAAATCTCAGGAACAATTTGCAGGAATAGCATGATAAATCAGAATGGTTGAATTTTGTTTCGTATCTCCTGCGTACTTCTTGTCTACATTGGAAATTTTAAACAATAACATATTCATTGTAGCACATTGTAGTCCTGAAACAGTTGCCTTAATTCTTCAAGGAATGACCCTAAAAACTTTACTCAAAAGTGTGTGAATTCTAGCAGAAAAATGTAAAATGCACAGGAATGTCTGACTAGCAAAACTAAAAAACAATGATACATGGGATTTTAGGTGATGAATTCTCCTCTTGGTGCCAAAAACAGCACTTTAATTCGCTTTACAGTATTTCGATAGTGGTCAGCTTTTCCTTAGAAAATAGTGTCATGTTAGTTCTAAGGAGAAAATGGGCAAAATGAGCCACACTATGCGAGGACAAGGGTGTACACCTGCCTACACCCACCCTGCCAACACTTTTCATGGGTGTTGAATTTTTGTGGTGTTATCTTAACACTGTTGGTGTTATTTTTAACACCTCCCAGTTCACACAAGTGTGTATTTGTAGGTGTATAAAAGTTACATCATTGATTTTAAATTAACAGATTTCGGTGTGATCATATGATAACACCAATAAGTGTTTTAAACACCAAGAGTTTTTGCAGTGCCCTCAGGCAGTCTGAGGGGCAGTCGGCTAATTTGAATACGACACAATTCTCCCGTGTATCTGCATACAGCCTTTGCCTTAAGGCCTCTTTCTATTTATGCAATTAAAATGCAAAAGCATTAAGTCAAGTTTTGCTGCCTTTGTTTCCGTAGGCTGCAGAGTTTTCAGTGAAATTGTACATGAATGAAATGCCAAAAAAAGGAACGGAACGTACCTAGATGTTCATAGGGCTATGGACAAAATGCATCGTTTACATCGATATAGAAGCTAACCTTAATTTCAATAAAGGTCAGTACGCAGAAATGCTGAAAAGCAGTCATGCATCTGGGTCTGAGTAACGTTTATGATTTTGTTAGCAAACACTTTCGAAAATACCATACACTCTACGTAGGCGTTATGATATCCATCTGCTTGGCACATAATGGCCTGCGACGAGTTGAATTGTCTTCTGCCGTTTTCAGCCTCCACCCACAGGCGAAATTGATGTCGGTCTGAGACGCCACCTCATTGCGTTTCTCGTAGCTCATTAAAACGCTAACCCGATACCACAAGGACGCAGAGTGAAAGACACATCGTAATATTGGCCGTTTTGTCCACGCTTAGTTTCATCACACAGCTCAGATCGTCTTAAAGTCGAAAGAATTGTACGGGCTCCAGCGCGCCAGTTTGTCGCATTTAATCAGTGCCCCATGGGTACAAAATTCGGGTGTGATATTTCTTTAAGTGGATGGCGCGTGTAACAAGGTTATATAATCCGATGACTCTTTGATAAACCGTGGTGGATCCCAAGGTGACGTGTTTCGGAAAGGCACTTGCTTGTGTATTTCATCTCGTTTCCTTGCAATTACGCATAAAAACCTTCGAACTGTAGCCATGAAATAAACACGATGAATTCCACATTTTGTGACCCCTCAAACCTTTATGACTACTGCAACGTTGGTTCTAGACCAACCCTGTTGCTAGACATGCATGGTTCAAGCATAAGCGAAGGAGACAAACAGAGTAGCTTTTCTTGCCAAATGTGCTCAGCTTGTGTGATCATCTTTAACTCGGGAAAACCCTCCCTGCATATGGTCATATTTGTACCACGAAAGGCCATTTTTTCTTCATGTCCACAGCGTGAAGTCTGAGTCTGAACCATTCATTGGGAAACTCTAACCTGACAAGTTTAATCTTTTTCATCGACCCTATTCTGTAAATGGCCCACTTATATATTCCAACCTTCACAAGTGGATCGCTTTTAGCCTTGCAAAAATCGCCTTATGTTCCCCTTCGGAATGGCCACGACCGGACTAATTAGGTTAAAACCTGCTAGTCACAAAAGAGATGAAATAAGGTTACGGTGTGCCAGCATGGAAAAATACATTTGAGAGAGGTTGTCCTTGAGTGCCTCCATTTTTAACGAATGCATTGGAACAAACTGTAGCATCACATTGCTAACACGCATTTACAGGAGCATGTGAAGCCGGCTAAAACATTAACATAAAAAAAGTGTGTGTCATGCAATTACCAATCGCAAAGAAGTTCTCGTTGCATCTGATTGGGGAAGCGCTCACCATGGTAGTGTCTGCACAGAACGTTTTGCCCGCCTCTGGCAATTTTCAGGTGCAAAACATTGCAAATAAACCAATAAAACATAACCTTGTCAAAGCCTCTTTTGGATACTTGTTTTGTTTTGGTTTTTTTTTTTAAACTGCTCAGTAAACATATTTTGTACCTGTCTTTGAAATTGCTTTTTGAGCAGCGGGGAAAAAAGAGAAATAGTGCCACTGGGCACCAGCTCCCAAGAGTATATTGGGTTGCACTTTGCAATTTGTCGTGGCTGATGAGACATACGGCGTGGAATTGGCTTTCATTTGACACTGAAAGC